GCTGACTAATCCAGGAGAGTGTACCCTGAAGTACCTTTTCACTAATTATTGCATATTGCATCCTGAGGGGGATTCTTTGGGGACAAATGGTTGATGCTAACCATCTGTGCCCTCCAAATGAGTTTTTTGCTGTGTACTTCCTCTTAACTTTACTGATTATATCTTTAACTCGTTAGTTTTGCCACGATCAAAAGTGGCAGTTTATCAGTCACAGCGTTCGTCAAGCAAACCTAGCATTACTGTCATGCATCAGGACAACATTAAGTTGATCTTTCATAATTTAATAAGTGATTGATACCTTGAAAAGACTGACATTACATGGAAGGATGTAAAAAGAAAGAAGCATGTACTAGCTTTCTTTGCCGGATGGATTTTGCCAGCTGGCAAAAAATGCATAAAGGAAAAAAAATGCTTAAGAGAGATGCCAAATTGACAGCAACAAATGAGTAAGCAACATGTTTGATGTCCTGATCTCTCAATTATGCCAATAGGGACCTGGCCCCCCTATTTCAAGCAGAGCTATTAATGGAAGAGGTCTGTGGTCGTGCAGTGTGCGTTGTTCTGAGACTGTGACTGACAAATGAGTGAAAGCAGACAGATTAAAAGGAAAGCTTTTAATTTATAATATTCATACTTATATTCAACTTGTAATATTTATCCTGAAATACTGCAGCACTTCTGTTGGGTTTCACTGCTACTGTGGCTCTAAGGTTCTTTGGAAAGGCATGAGATCTCTCTTTGCACCAAGGACAAAGTTCCTCTCAGGCCTATAGCCAGGTATATGACATCTTCGTAAGGCAGTGGTATGTGCCTCGAGCATGTTTTGCAAAAAAAGGTCAAAGGAAATATTTAACTTCTTACATTTCAAATTCTGATGTTTAAGGTATTGAGCAGAATAGCAATGACTCTGTGACCTTTTGGCAAAATTTTCTAACAGGCATTGTAAACTTTACTTTCTGGCATAAATGCCAGTTAGCAAAACCATATGGGAGAAGAAACTCCTACTGGATGACCGTCAAAAGCAAATCAACAAGTATTTAAGCAAACCAAGAGCACATAAATGCAAAATTGATTAACCTGAAAGAGTTTCCTGCCATGCTGATTACTGAGAATATTCTTTTGAAGGTCAACACTAGTCACATACAAGCAGAACAAGCTAGGTAGAATAGTACTCCACAGGAAAGTCACCACTATAAAATAAAACCAACAAATGCTCTAGTTCTAGGGGAGTGGGTGTGTGAAAGGGAAGTAATCAAAAGGGAATAATTTAAAGAATGCCCAATTTTAAAATGGCAGCTGCAAAAGCGCTTTAGCATGCCTAACTCTAGCTAAATACAAAACTTCTAGGAAAGCACTTCAGCTTACTGAACTAAAGGCTTGATGACATAACAATCTAAGGCATGTTTTGGCTTTCATCCAGACAAGCATTCAAGCGTGTGATTTGGTTTAACACTCAGAAATTCCACTGACTTCCTTTCTGGATCAGTAAGTACAAGCTCGACAGAAACATGTAAAGCTTGTTCTTTGCCTTCAAACCTTGAGGAGGAGAGCTGCTGGTAACACCTGGTGGAGCTTGAGGGCTGATTCCCTAGGCTTCTATGCAAAGATGGGTATGAAGGGAGAAGAGGAACTAAAATGGCTGTGGAATCATAATGGATTTGGGCACCACGATAGCAAAGAAGAAACTTTTAAATGGATGCTGCATCAAATAGTGTTTACCAGAGCTGTAAAATATGTTTCTTTGATAAATGGGACTAGTCAGTAGAAACTGGGAAAGGATTTAAGGGCCTGGTACTAGATTCCTCTACCGGAAAATATTACTTTCTGTTGGTATTGGTAAAACACAAATGAAATTACTCTCAAGGTGTGTTTAGAGGGCTGCACCTATAGGTAGCATCAGCTTCAGAGTTTCTTATTATCTCAGAGTACATTAATGTGTTTCTCTGTTCTTATCTCTGAATTCTATCCCATCACAATAAATACATTCTGACGCTAATTCATATTCAGGGTTTTGTCATTTGTTTCTCTTTGGTTGTTCCCTTTAAATTGTCTAAAGGAACTTAGGAATGAAAGAGCAAGCAGAGAGATCCTTCAGTGAGTCTGTTCCTTTGACTTGCAGTATTTTCCAGCATTTGCTCCATAACAAGGCATTAACAGGTCTTTCGCCTAAAACTTACTCATGATCCATGAAAACTTGATTTCAAAACTCCTTATTTAAGGGCTCAATACTGAAACATCTATCCAGTTCAGAAATATTGCTTTCTTTATGGGCTCCGTTCCTTTTCTAGTCAATTCCATTAGTTTACGGAATCTTTACTCTCCATGGCTTCTCTCCTGAACAAAAAAACACATCTTAAATAAAAAAAAAGCTTCTTTTTTACAAGACTAGGATGCAAATAGGAAAAACATCTGATGATCTTCCCAGTCTTACAGATTCTGACATTAACAATGCTCTCTATGCTTCTGAGCATAGAGAAGGAGCTTGAATATTATACTACTATGCACAATACAGAGCCTTAAATAGATGCAGCAGCCTAGTTGTGCAGCTACTTAGCGCTTCATCGCCTTGAAAGGGATTGCCCTAGCACAAGAGGAGAGAACAATTAATTAGTGGAGCCAACAAACAGAGAACAGCAAAATAAGTGCCACAGGACGAGATTTTGTTTTGGGGAGGAGGCAGAGTTCTCTAAAGGAGGCTATAATTATTGTGGGAAAGGAGACCGAAGGAGAAGAACTGCAGAAACCACGCAGATGAATGGGTGTAGAGCTCAGCTCTGCACGACGTAAACAGTCCTTGAATATGAATCTGAAAAATCCACTGTATGCCTGAGATGTTGCTCAATAAAACTTCCAAGGATTAGAGTTGGAGGGGTACGATTTCCGAGGGAAATTTGCAGCAGTAACAGAGAAGATAATATTTACAGCCCTTTATTTCGCAAGAAGTCAAAGAAAAAGTGTTGAGGACGCATATCTGTAGAACAGGGCAGAAATAGAGACTGACTAAAATAGGATAAATAATGTGCAAGAAGAGGTCTATTGCACTACAGAATGAAGATGAGAAATGGGCAGAAACAAAACATTGCATGGCAACAAATAAGAGAAGAGCAACACATCATACACACAAAAGAGAGAGGGAAACCAAGAAGCCAAGGCTGAACGAAAATGGAATGGAGGTTATTGCAAGAGAGAACAGTCTGAGCAGGATAATTTCCTTACAGGGGTAAGGAATGGAAGGACCAGTGATACCTATTAGCACCATCGAGACAGGCCAGAAAGCCCAGAGGCAAAGACAGAAAGGACTGATCAAGAAAAAAGCCATGTGCTAGAGGTCAAGAAGTTAGGGAAAAACTGAGAGTAATCAAGAATTAATCAAGTTAGATGTTTGGCTTTTTGTGCTGTTTGGTTTTGTGGGGTTTTTTTTGGCCAGGGAAGGGAGGACTTTTTGCAAATAGTGAAAGATTCTTCAGACCTCCCAGGATTCTGAAAGATGTGGACATAAAGTTCTGGCAGGGAAATATATTATTGAAGTATGAGCTGCCACTGTGATACAGTCATTAAAAAAACACTGGCAGTAGTCAGTTCCTTATTTCCCATGGAAGGTGAAAGTATTAGCACCAGTTTCTAAATCCTTCATGAGATCACAGTGTGTTGTATGCTTCTAGTCCCTTGTTTTCAAGAGCAATGAAGCAGATGAGGTCTGCTAGGAAGATCACAGAAATGGAAATAAGTATATGCAAAAGAGTGCATCGTATAGTTGTAGTGGGTTGACTCCAGCTGGCAACTGAGCTGCCACACACTTGCTTGCTCACTGCCCGCCCCAGCCTGACAGGAGAGAGAACTGGAAGGGTAAACGAAAGAAAAACTCAGGGATTGACAAGAAGACAGTTTAATAAGTAAAGAAAAAAAGGAAAAAAAAAAAACAACCAAGTAATGCAAAAGCTATCACTCACCAGCTCCCAACAGCAGATTGATGCCCAGCCAGTCACCAAGCAGTGGTTACCGTTGAAAAACTTCCCCCCTCCTTTTAATATTAAGTACAATGTTATACGGTGTGATGTACCTCATTGCTCAGTTTGGGTCAGCTGCCCTGGCTGTATTCCCTCTCAAACTCTTGTGCTCCCCCAGCCCACTTGCTGGGGGGGGTTAGGGGAGAGCAAGGTGAGAAAAACAGCAGGCCTTGCAAGCACTGTTCAGCAATAGCTAAAATATTGGTAAGCTATCAACACTGTTTTGGTCACAAATCTAAAACATAGCATCAAACCACCTACTATGAAGAAAATTAACTCCATTCCAACCAGACCTAGTACAATAGTCTAGCAAAACGAAGGCTGAGAAAAGACTGCTGTCTACTTACTTAGCAAAGAGATGTCCCAATGAAGGAAAGAGCTGTTTCAGACTGAGGAGCAGTATTGAAAGCGTAAACAAGAGGTGGTCAAGGACTTGTAGGTTCAGGATCTAAATTTTCTAAGAAAGAATAAAAAGACAGTTCAAAATAAGCAATAAAAAAGAGGGGACTTTTGTAGATAACACCAACCTGCACGGGAACTAAAATTTCTTAATTATGAATATCACATCTCAAGGATTCACTGACAAATTTATAAGCAAATATTAAAGAAATTTTGGTATGTGGTATATAGGCAAAAACATGTAATTTTAGCTTTCAGTACTTTCCTTTGCATGTAACTTAAATATTGTAAAGAGCTACGAATATTTTCTTTTGACTAACATTATCGTTAGACTATAGTTTCTGTGACAGCCAAAACAGCAAAATCAGCAAGTGTTTCTGCCTTCTTAAAGAAAAGTTTTGTCATTTGCTTATGTTTACTTCTTTAAAAACAATACTGCTGTGGCTTAGCTTTCACTCAGCAGTAACTGCTCTTAAAGTGCTTGATTTTACCTTCATTATAAAAATCCAGTATTCCTTTACCAAACAGATTGTTGTGTATATCATAACTCTCAGTAGCATTTTGGAATAACACAGGCTTTAATCCTTAACCTAGATTTGCAGGTTATCAGGACACAATCTACAGATAAGAATATGTATGTATTTAAATATGAGCTGCTCCCTTGTCCAAAGGTCAAGCTTCCATAAAACAAGGGTAAGTATCAGAGACGTAATGAATACAGAGAGTAATTAGTTAATGATTAAACAGAGTAAAAGTGAAAAACTGGTAATAGCCAAAGAAAATTTTTACATTACAACAATGTGTGTTCAAGGCAAGAGAATAATTTATCAAAGCATGTTAGTGAGCTAACATTTCTTTGGTTGTTAAATAACTGTTTGGATGAAATAATGAAGAAATTTAAGTAGAAATGGCCCTGCATTGTTGTAAGGAACGTGTATGGTGATCTACTGGACATTAAGAACCACTTTCTCTATAAAAAAAATGAAATATCCTTCAGAGTATGCATATAATATACATATTTTTTAATATATTTTACAATCAGTGAAGTTCTCTATTACTTATAAAAACTAAGCTTTTATTTAAATTAGCAATGATTATTTCATTACAATAAAAAAGTAACCAAAGTTACCTACCACATTTTAGAAAACAAAAGATCAAGGTTAATCATTAAAAGAACACAGTGTTCTATTGTCATCACATCTTAGAAAAAGAAAATACATGACAAACTAATGTTAACCCTGACCCATTATTCATTAGGTACTATAATGTATTATTTTCCTCACCTTGAACAATTTGTCCTACAGCATAAATTTGACAATGCATTTAAACTGGAACTTCTCAATTCAGCTTTTTAAGGCTCCATACTGTTAATTATGAAACACAAAACTGGTAAGTGCTTATGGACCAAACAGAAGTCTTTAGTATTTTCATTTGTAGCCACATCACCTCATTTGATAAAATCCAGCTTGTAAAATGTTCACAATGTTTACCTGTTGTAAAATGTTTCTAATATGTTTAAATAGTTTTGTTAAAACATGTTTTTAAAAAATTACACATGGGATTAAAACATGCTTTCTTCAGCTGTATACAACAAGATCTTAAGTTTCTTTAAATGTACTTTGAGTTTCCCCATAAGGCTACTTTTGAACTTCAACTAAATTTAAAAGAAAAAAGAAGACAAAAAACAAAATAGGATTTTTCTTAAGGACTGACAAATCAAATCAAAACCATTAATATGCAGCTTTAAACACAACCCAAAAGACAACACAACAAAACAAAACAACCCACAGAACCAACACCATGACAAATTTCAGATAAAACAATATTAACTGTGGAAAGGTTACAGACTTTCTGTTGTACAATAACAAAACAATTTAGCTCTTTTGACCACAGCGAAGCAGTTAATATTTCTTTTCCATTACATTCTTTTATGTTTGGAAAAATACATTTTTCTATATACTTAATATTTTGGTTTTAATACTCACGTATTTTTAATTTCCAATTGTTGTGAAAAGAGTAACAGGTTGAGTCTTGTTTTTAGACATACTTTGGGTAACAATAAAATGGCATGTTCCATACTTAAACAGTTCAGAAGATGGATAAGATATTTACTTGCTCTGGCCTTTCCGTAATTTAGATTATTTATCATTCATTTACATACTTCTTATTTAATAGGTTTTGGACGCACACAAGTGATAAAAGTGTCTGGCACTGCTTCTCATTATTGAGTGTGGAAATTCATGTCGTGATTAGGTTATTATGCTATTTAAGTTGTATCTGTGGGTTTTGGAAGCAAAATAGTTGCAATGTTTTTAAAACATTTTCTATTTAAGAGACTAACAAATATTTGTTACAACTACTCTTCAGAAGTCCCCTGTGATACATGTAAGTCTTACTCTCCTGGCTGTACCAGTAGAGATGATAAGTAGATAAATAAGGTGGCTTTCAGCAAGTTAGTTGCAAACCTGACAACATATGGATTGACCTCCCATTTTGGTATTTTTACAACTGCACAGTGCTAGCTCTTATTTATTATGTTCTCTGGTCCATTTTTAAATATTCACTTGCAAGTTAGTATATAAATAAACCACTGATAAAGAATCACCATTTGAGTGAGTTAACATAAAAGTATTGCACATATGATAAAAGAAATAAAAACTTGGATCAAAAATACAGTTGCAGATAATTAATCTGGCTCTGTGAAGGAACTGTATCAACTTAAAGCAAAGTGCCTGTGACTTTGGAACAAAGGTTCCCAGGCTGTACAGAGAGAAATGTTTGCTGATGGTCAATGCCCAGCTCACAGCTCCTCCTTATTTCTAGTTGCCAGACTCCACTGACAGAGTTCTTAAATGCATCACTTCCCACTATTAGACGTACATACACTGTGAAGTATAAATATGTTCTATATCTAAACATTATTTTTAAGATCTATACACATAACCATAGCATTTCATGTAGTTTCACATATACATAACCACAATATTGTAGGTAATATTATAGTTTTAGGTAGTGCATAGAATTTGGGTGGCAAAAGGGGAAAGCTCTCCAGGGAGGAAAACAAAACAAAAGTTCTTTACTACTGTCCCTGCATTAAATTGCCATCTGCAGTATGAGCGGATAAATACCTTGGGAGCCCAGGGTGAGTTCAGAATTTTGCAGTGTGTCTTCAGCGTCTGATCTTCTATCAACTGTTTTGTAAAGTGATTACGTATTTCTGCAAGCTACAAATCAGTTGGTCTTTCAATCTACACGCAACAGGTAGTCTTCTCTTGATGGGATGTCTTGTCAAAATGGTTCATCAAGTCAGTACTACAGCAAAATCCTGTGAAATCAAATTGTGACAAGCTATTGTCTTGGTTGTGTCTTTCAGAAAACACACCTGAAAAGTATTTGTCTGCAGTATCAGCTGTATCTTCTTCTCAACAGCCATTTCTCGTGCCTTTTAAAGAATGAGAAGGGACTAATCATCTTCTTCCTATGGTAACTACAAAGTCAATGCTAATTAGACAGTAAATTTGAATCATTTATTTTTACTATTACCGCTGTTACTTGCCTACAGTCCATTTCGAGAGTGGATGCTCTCCTGCCATGATACACAGTCCCCAGCTGCTTCACAGGCCACAGTCCCTTTCTTCACTCTGTCTTTGACTAGGTTCAGTCTGACCAAGACTACACCTTGGCCCTGATCTCCATGATAACCATCAAGTTGTTGGAACTGTTGCATTTAAAGACCTCCAACAAGCATGTCTTTGCAATGACAAAACACCACATGTGAGCATTTTTAAACATGTATGCTCAATTATGTATATGACACACCTCCTTCCATTCTCACACTTGTCTTAGAAAACTGGGCCTGCTTCTAGGGGCTACATGCCCCACTTGTTTTCTCCTTGTGCCTCTTGAGACAAATCTCTTTGCTAAAGTCTGACCTTTCTTCTCTCTTTCCACCCCGTCAAAAACACAGTGTCTTCTGATTCTTGTTATAAACACCCCTTTTTTTCTTTCCCAAAAACTCTTGTAGTTTTTGAGCCTTGGGGTAAGGCTTAAATAATTAACAACTGCTTGTTTTAAACCAGCTTTCCAAAACAATTGATCTGGTGAGGCCAGTCAGCCTCACCTCCATCCCCGGAAAGATGATATAACGGCTCATTCTGGGTGTCATCTCAAAGCATATGGAGAAAAAGAAAGATATCAGAAATAGTCAACATGGATTTGCCAAGGGGAAATCATGTCTGATTAACCTGATAGCCTTCTACGATGGCATGACTGGATGGATAGATGAGGGGAGGGTGGTGGATATCGTCTGCCTTGACTTCAGCAAGGCTTCTGACACAGTCTTCCACAGCATCCTCATAGCCAAGCTTAGGAAGCCTGTGTTAGATGAATGGACAGTGACGCGGATTGAAAACTGGCTGAAAGACAGAGCTCAGAGGGTCGTGATTAGTGGCACAGAATCTCGTTGGAGGTCTGTAAAAAGTGGGGTCAGTACTAGGTTTGCTGATGACATAAAACTGGGAGGGGTCGCTGACGCACCAGAAAGCTGTGTCGCGATTCAGCAAGACCTGGACAGGCTGGAGAGCTGGGCAAAGAGGAACCTGATGAAATTTAACAAGCGCAAGTGCAGGGTGTTGCACCTGGGGAGGAATAAATCCACACACCAGGCAACTGCTGGAGAGGGTACAGCAGAGGGCTACAAAGATGATGAGGGGCCTGGAGCACCTCCCTTACAAGGAAAGGCTGAGGGACTTGGTTCTTTTTAGTCTAGAAAAGAGAAGGCTGAGGGGGGATCTGATCAGTGCCTATATATACTTAAAGGGTGGGTGTCAAGAGGATGGGGCCGGTCTTTTTTCAGGGGTGCCCAGGGACAGGACAAGAGGGAATGGGCATAAACTTGAAGATAAAAATGTCAACATGGATTTGCCAAGGGGAAATCATGTCTGATTAACCTGATAGCCTTCTACGATGGCATGACTGGATGGATAGATGAGGGGAGGGTGGTGGATATCGTCTGCCTTGACTTCAGCAAGGCTTCTGACACAGTCTTCCACAGCATCCTCATAGCCAAGCTTAGGAAGCCTGTGTTAGATGAATGGACAGTGACGCGGATTGAAAACTGGCTGAAAGACAGAGCTCAGAGGGTCGTGATTAGTGGCACAGAATCTCGTTGGAGGTCTGTAAAAAGTGGGGTCAGTACTAGGTTTGCTGATGACATAAAACTGGGAGGGGTCGCTGACGCACCAGAAAGCTGTGTCGCGATTCAGCAAGACCTGGACAGGCTGGAGAGCTGGGCAAAGAGGAACCTGATGAAATTTAACAAGCGCAAGTGCAGGGTGTTGCACCTGGGGAGGAATAAATCCACACACCAGGCAACTGCTGGAGAGGGTACAGCAGAGGGCTACAAAGATGATGAGGGGCCTGGAGCACCTCCCTTACAAGGAAAGGCTGAGGGACTTGGTTCTTTTTAGTCTAGAAAAGAGAAGGCTGAGGGGGGATCTGATCAGTGCCTATATATACTTAAAGGGTGGGTGTCAAGAGGATGGGGCCGGTCTTTTTTCAGGGGTGCCCAGGGACAGGACAAGAGGGAATGGGCATAAACTTGAAGATAAAAATTTCCATCTAAACATGAGGAGGATCTTCTTTACTTTGAGGGTGGCAGAGCCCTGAAACAGGCTGCCCAGGGAGGTGGTGGAGCCTGTCACTGGAGACATTCAAAACCTGGCTGGATGTGCTCCTGTGCAACCTGCTCTGGGTGGACCTGCTTTGGCAGGGGGTTGGACTAGATGATCTCCAGAGGTCCCTTCCAACCCCATGTGATTCTGTGATTTCATCTGTGATTCCCTACGTTGTTGCATGTTACTTATCGTACAGCAGAACTGAAAGGCATCCAAATAAATCAAGGATCCAAGTGGGGACACATTAAAACTGCAATTCACATTCCAGAAATCATTCAAGGAGAAGGAAATATTCCTTCCACCCTTTAATGGTTCACTTTGAGCAAACCCTTACCCAGAGCAGGAGGAAGCTTTCCTGTACACAAAAAATTACATCTCAAATGACAAGTAATATTTCTATAGCGCTTAAGGTAGAAAATCCATAGTAGCAGGGAGGGAAATTTTCAGTATAAGAGACTCTGAAATTTGTGATTTTTTGTATACTTTAAAAGAATTGTGGTATTTTACATTAAGAAGTTGAACCTTCCTCTTACATTATGTTGTATAAAATCAGTATTTTCAAAAAACACATTGACTGTTTATACAGTATGTGACTGAAATACAGTTTTTATGTATATATGATTTTATGATTTGTCAAATACACTTGCCCCACACATCTACCATAGGTATATATACACGTAAACAATGTATATACAGTATCTTAATAATCTCTGACATTTTCTCAGCATAAAAGTTGTGTATACTTACTATTTAGCCTAATAGTCCTTGGTTGTCTTCTGTTCTAGTGCTTATGTGTCAAAGACAGCAGCAGGCCATTGCAAGTGGGCAGAAGTTCTGAAAGATTTGGAGCGGATCAAGACATCCAAAGTAAGTTAATTAAAAAGTCAGCATTTCATATAATCATAGCAGCAGACATAATTAAATATTTAGCACTGTACTCAGCTAAGAAGTGTCAGTAACAGGGAGCAGGAAAAGGGAGGGTGTTTGTATAATGCTCTTTCATGAGTGGAAGCAAAGGAATAGAAGGTAAAAGGGACCTGGAGTTGACCAAATACTGCATGCTCTAGAATTAAATATTATTGTCTTTCTCACTTTTTCTAAGAAAAGGGGCAGTGGGCTTGGGAGTTAGCTCCTTGGGATAAAATATTGTGGGACTCCATTCTGCTGAGTCCCTCCTCACAGCAAAGGTCATCCTGCAGGTTACTAGGTGGATCCCCTGACTTGCTGGCTACCAGTACCATGGATGGATTGGGCCTTGGAACTTAGAGGTCATCCATGTCTTGCAGAGTTACTTTTATTATCTCTAAATCTGTTAGCTAATTTTCCTAATTCTAACTCTTGTTTTCTTTTAGGATATCGATGTCAGTTTATATACTGCAAACACAGATGAGGATGTAAGTAAATTTAAAATTTGGCAACAACTGGTCTGATATGGTAGCTTCCTTTCTTTACTAGCAACTTTTTCATAAGGCAGCTTTGGTTAAATTTGAGAAAAGTTTCAGAAATCAAGTAGTTTTCCTTGGAAGGAACAGTTCTGTTAAAGTACTTGTGATAAATTATGTAAGCAGGTATTAATTATTTTTATTGAATCACCTGCTATTAAAATTAATCAATTAAAAAGGATGATCCAAAATTTATATTATCAAAGCAAACACTGCTAAAATAATGTTGGTATTTGGTTGTAATTTGAGGGAGGGAAAAAGTGACTGAGAAAATACTTCCAAAGTTGATCATTTAACGCCATACAGTATTTAAAGGAATAAAATACTGGAGAAGTGGAATACAGAGTAACTGCATTTCTCTGCTTTTGTCATTCCTTAGCTTAGCAGAAACATAGGTACTCTCAAGGATTTATAGTTGGGGGTTATAATTTATTCTGCAAAGTATGAATTATGTTAATTTGTCAATGTAATTCTCAATAAAAATCATAGAAACCTATGGAAAATATGATCTCTTTAAATGTAGTTTCCATCAATTCATTCCTGAAGAGACTTTTTCATAACCAGTTGCTGCAGAGCTCAGTCTGCACTCCATGGGACAAATGCATCCCCCCAAGAAAATGAATCCAGCCAATATCCCACTCCTAGTAGTCACTTTTGGCACAGCCCTGGTGGAATTGGCTGGATTCATTGCTGTGGTAGAAGCCTGTTTTTGAGACATTGCTTTCCAGACAACATAAACATTCACACAAGGACTGTGCCAAGCCCAGACCATAGATGAATCCCGTACCTAAAGAGTTAATGAAAGATTTCCTAGAAATGATGGACTGACTGCCTCGGTGCAGAACAGTCTCAGTGTGCAAGCAGAACACAGCAATGCTGGTGTGCCCAGTGGATCTGGCAAGCTAGAGAGAGCACAGAAGCTGATGTGTCTGTACAGTTAGCCCTGTACATGACAGGAAAAAAGGTCACAAAACATGCGTGTCCACATCCACACACACATTCTCTTAAATGAACTGAGCCAGAGAGGTCAACCCATTGTAATGGTTGATTTAATACCTGGTAATGTCAGGAAGATTTTCTTGAATTGGAACTGTCTGATATGAAAGTCAGCCAACTTGGGATAACATCTTGGCTTTATTGTTGACTTGATGGAGAAATTAATTCCTCTGCTTCTTTTCCCTTCGTTTGTGGAATACAGGTAATACCTACTTTCTCTTCTCCTCTGCCTATTCTGAATTCAGAGTTCTGAATGAAAGTTCCAGAACTAAGAATGAAACTAATTTAATTCCACCATGTTTAATTATATTGTAAATTCCTATCCTAATTAATTATTTTCCTATGTTCTTCACCAAGACACTACATCATCTTAGCAAATTGGCTGGTCTTTATGTCATTAGCTCTCAAAGCCAATCTTTGCAGATATTTAAAAGTATCTGAATAGTAAGAAGAGCTATCCAGTAAATCAAAATCAGCCACTTCACAGTAAATTATATCTTACAGTCACCTATTCCTTTTTAATTGTAAAACTACTGCAACTTCATTTTTTTCAGAAAGAATGCCGAGAACCTGTAATTAGATGTTTTTTCTTAGAGACCAAAGTGATTCTTCAAGAATGTCTTATCAAAAATTGTAGCAAAACACAGGATGTATTGAACATATGGAAAAATGGAAATGCAAGCTTAGAAAATAACAAGGTAAGTAACATCAACAGTCTGTGTAAAAAATGGCAAATCAAAAGTGTTTCTTCAGTACAAGAAATACCTCTTTTGTTATATAAAGCAAATGGGATCCAGTTACCTGTACATGTGACAGTGAAAAAGCTACACATACAACAACCAAAAAGCAGAATTTAGTGGGTTTTTTTTTCCCATCAAAGCAAATACTTTTTTGCTGTGTATGCACACATACATCAGGGTGTTTGAATCACAGAATCACAGCATCACAGAATCTTCTAGGTTGGAAGGGACCTTAAAGATCATCTTGTCCAACCGTCATGTGTATGTATAAATAAAGAACAGTTTGTAACTTCAGTATCCAAAGTTGGGTGCACTCAGACACATAGAGAAAAGTATCCTAACTTTTGAAGGGACAGCCACTTGTATCTCTCAGTGAAGTGCTGTATCTTTCAAAGTTGATCCTACTCAGAAAGCAAGCCAGGAGCTGCACAGACCATAAGTACCATGGCAGCCTCCAGCGATGCTTTGTGTAGCCATTGGCTGCATGTGACTTATTCACAAAAAACCAAGGGTTAGTTCTCTACCAGGATAAATAGATCAGTGTCCTGCTTAACTATTGCATTTTGTTTTTCAGTTGAGTTCCAAAAGATCAGCAAAATGTAAAGAATGTGAAGAGTATGAAGAAAAAAATTTTACAGAATTTATACAGAGTTTTGTCAAGGTTATACAGAGGGAATGCAAACAGTGACCAAAAGACACAAGCTGGGAACCAAGATTCTTCCACGAACATCCTCACAGAAATTACATTATCACCAACAATAAACTGGAAAGAACATCACTTACAATCCCACTTATGGAGCATAACACGTAAACAAAGAAAAATAAAATCCCTGTAATTCACAATATATTCAAAACTGAATACATGCAAATGATGCCACTTCTTAAATAAAAATGAAAAGAATTTAAAAGGGTTTAAAGCTTCTTCTTGACTTAAAGTGTCCGTATTGTTTTGGTAAGTCCACTGGAAAAGAAATCCTGCCTAATCTACCAACCTTTCAACAAAATTCTCTTAAGAAATCTATCTTAGGATGTCCGCAGTGAGAACCTCCTCATGAACATCAGTTCAAGGCTAACTGAATGGGGTTTCAAAGAAAAGCTCTTCTTTCAGTAATATTAATATAAAATCATCACAACCCACTAAAGCATTAAGCTGTTTTTGTTATCTGAAATCTATCCCTTTACCACTTGTATTCCTAGAAAATCCTAGGAATCCTTCATCTCTCACTTACTAATGTCTGACAGTTTTCCTTGCTATTTTTTTTTTTATTAACATTCCTTCAAGGAACTAGTGCCAAAACACAATCTAAGGCTTATTTGTTTTAAAGGTCTATTGGTTATCTCTTAATATATTCATTTCTACTATGGTTTCAGGTAAACCAAATTATTTGTTTTACTTAAGAATTCAAAGTAAAAAAAAAAAAAAAAAAAATATTTATTTGAAGATTATTCCTTGCCTTTTTTCCCTTTTGTACAATGGTAGCATAAGGGTATTAAAAATTATCTCCAGTTTTCTCAACAGGAGGTAATGCTGGTGCTTGGTTCCTCTGTCCAATGACAGAACATGCTTTGTTACTTCATTTGTTACCTCTCACAGAGATACCACCTTAACCAAACTATAGTTCCTTTAGCAATTACCAAAGATTTCAATCTAAATTTCAACCGAAGTAGTGTAAATTTCATTGTCTGAATAAAGGAGGTGACCAAGTCTGTACACTTAAAAAAAATTAAATTTTATGTGGTAGAAATCTTCCCTATCTAGTAGAGTTTGTAACTTTGGTCTCTTTTGAGGTAAGAAATATGAAGGCAGGAATCATTTTTGATCAATTACTGGAAATCATGATAACTGTATTTTTAAGACTCAATGCAGTCACATGTCCCCTGGTATTTCTGAAATGCTTCATAGTCTTCTTTCAGCTCTTTCAAAAATAACTGTTTTCTTCATGATTCATAACCATGTCATACCAACTGCTATCCATAATAAATAATCCTTTCCTCTATGGACCTCCATTTCTCTATCTTCATTAGATAAATGTCTGAGTCAGTCAGCTTTCCACTTACCAGGAAGGAGGTTCTCAATCTCATTATGGCAACAAATCCACTGGCTGGTACTTCCTTATTGCTGGGTTACTCCAAGCAGTCAATCTTCAGCACTCTGAGGAGTGGACTCTCCAGTAACCTACAAGATTACAAATGCAAGCATAGTGGATGTCATCTTACAGGTGACATAGGCTGACTGGTAAATTCATAAGCACATTTATTAGTATTAAACACTGGCAGAGCTATCACAGAAGAAATAAACAAATGGCATTTACTATTTAATCTTTACCAACTACTGTTGGTAAATGTTACGAAAAAGATTAATACTGTATTTTCTCCAATTAATTCAACTCAGTTTGGGACTAAGGTGACTCATAGCAGAGTGCTTCTATGTTCAGAAAGAAAAATAATTCTACCTTTTGACACCAGAATATAAGAAAACTGCTCTTTCACAGAAGTTTTGAACTAAATAATTCTGGGTTCCTGACTTTGCAATAATTTAAAATCTATTTTTCCTTTCCTTTCCTGATATTCATTATCCATGTTTCTGCCTGTATTTTAACTGAATAATGCAAGTAGCGCTAGTGCAGATGATTTCTGACATCCTCTGCCTTCTTGGTTTTTTATTATACCCTGAAGATAAATATTGGTTGTTCATCAATAGAGCACTGCCTCCAGTGGCTCTGGATAGTTGAACACCCGTTGATCAGGTACTGCACTTTAAAGTCAGTTCCGGATCAGCATCAGGATATTTACAGAAGGACTATTAGCTAAAATACTTCCCCCTTAAAACACATAAGGACTTTAACCAGTAATTTCTGCAGTCCAGATTTTCTTTTAAGTAGTCCATCTATGCTGCATGATCAACAGATGTCAGTTTCTGCAACATCCAACTGTATTTTACAATTACAGGGCATGGTATGAATTATCAATTTCATTTCCCTCACAGACACTTGAACCTTAAGAGTGGCATCTGACAGTTTCCCCACATTTTTTTAAGTCAGTTCAATTTCTGACTGAGGTTATAAAGTGATTTAATTAAGCTAGTAATATGGCATTATCACTGTTGAGAACACACTGAAGGAGTATTCTCCTGATACCCAAATTGAGCTTTTACATCCCAAGTGGCCCTTATTAGGCATTTGCCTATGTGGATGCATAAGATTTTAATAATTAATCACTGTCCATTTGCCCCTTCTTTAACCAAAGAGATGGTATTTCAACAGCCAAGATGCCTTCAGTGAGAAGCCAGAAGCCATGAGAACCTTAAGAGCAAGCAAAGGGCAAGCTAATAGAGTACTGCAGGTCTCCAGCTGATGGTCTGTTTTGCCCAAGCAGAAACAGGTGACTCCCATTTGATGTGAGTGATGGTATGAGTGGTTTTATCTTGTTCTTCATTCACATTCCGTTTAAGAAGTTTATTGTGTTAACGGATGCTAGCTCATTTGGAAATGAGAACTTTGTGAAAGCCAGAATCATTAATGGTTGAAGGAAAAGGCAAATTCTGAACTGCAACTACGTCTCTTGTTGGGAGCTTTACTGTTTGGGGGAATATATATAAAAAGGGGATTCTTTGCCTGCAGTGAAGTAGCTGGGGGCTCAGCAGCAATTTCAGATTATCCATCTTGTTCATATGGCTATGTGAGGAAAATAATAGTTACAAACATACTTTAGGATTCATTCCAGCTCCATGTGGCAAAAGCTCAGAGAGACTATGAACATTTGAGTCAGTAGGCCTCAATGTACAGTGGTCACACAGGGCAAGCAGTGTATTTGCGATGTGTGAATCAACAGGCATTCTCTATAGTTAAAGAAGTGTTTCCACTGCTTCAATCCTTCAACAAAGGGTCCAGATCCAAAGTATAATAGAAGCCAAGTATAACTGTAGAAGCCAGTACAGTGTTTTGTAAAGCAAAGGACATCACTACTGATTCCAAGTATGTAAATTACATGTACAATTGTCAGTCAACTCATTTGTCTAGACAGCTTCATCACAGACATTGTGGTTCTACTGTCCACTAAACCCAAACTAAGTGCCTTGTTATCCTTGCCAATCTCGTTCTCTGCCTGCCATCCTCTCCTAGTTTAATGTGGGCAACACCAGAACAGGATGGAGCTGCTAGTATTTTGTTGCATTTCTATTAGGAAGAATATGGAACAAACATATAGGTACAACACTATAATAAAGTTACCTAAGTTTATTCTAGGTGTAATTATCAATAACTCCAATATCATAAGATTTACTTTTCTCACAGTAATACTCAAAGGTGATCAAGTTGCCAACTTCTTCTTTGTAACGTTGGAAAGACAGGAGAAATGAAACATCCACTACAGGAATAAAAGCAAACAGGAGGAAGGAGAAGTGAGAGCCACTTTAAACTGTAACAGTGAAAGCAAAATTATTCCAACTCACTGTGAATGTACTGCGTAAGTGCTTTCTGAGTAGAGATCATTCATGTCTTCCCTCTAATAGGCACCAGTGAAGCTTTCGGAAGACTTTGGAAATCCCCATCCTAAGCCCCTGAGCCAAGGTCATGACGGGATGTCTTGGCAGGAGGATTAATGTGAGAACAAACTAGCTGCTCAGAACAAGCAGATGAAGCCAAAGCGAGGGACACAAACTTCACTGTATCCTTAAGTCAGTATTGGTGCTCCTGAGAATAAGCATAGGATTAATTTGTATCCAAAGTGGCCTTCAAATGAAGCCATCCATACGAAGGCATACCTTACCAGCAATAGAAACAGCACTGCATACCAGATGTGCAACATTAGGAGACTGATCAAGGTGACACTGAGCCATACTTAAAAGGGGAATATTCTGTAGCATGTAAAGGGCTATACCTTTCCTAGAGGCAGAGAAGAAACAATTAAACTTTGCTACTGTGCTCTCTGCGGAATATTGCTCACAAGAACTTGAGAAGAAGAAGAAAGCCATAAATGTATGTTATGTATTTTGCAATGATAAGATCAAACCAGCATCTCTAAACTGTTCCCTTCCAAATGTTTTCCTCCAAAACCTGGAAATGTTGGAGAATTCTCATCTCCTTATCAAAAGACTTAATTAGGCCAATAATCAACACCTTAAATAAAGACATAAAGAAAAATCTTCCAAAACCTCATTCTTAATGCTTATTAGAGGTGGTATTTTCTTGGTCAAGTTAAGCTAATCAGGAATCAATTTGATTTGTAAAAATGAGGAAGAAGATGGGCAAATACAATAAAGAATAAAACATCTGTTTAAATGACTGATTTATCTGTACTGTAGCATAAGCAGACCACTACCTCTAAAACTGAAAAAAAACATATAGGGAGGAAAAGAAATGAAGTTAGAATATAAACAGAAATCAGGGGGATTTCTGGGAATTTTCTTGAGAAATATCTAAGGCTAAAGGAACTTATCTTAACTTTAGCATACAAACAAATGCCTTGCACTGGTTCTCTTCCAACTCTGAATCAGGTTTCTCAGAGATGCATGGTGACTAACTATTAGGTAAAAGCTTTAAAGTCTCAGCCAGATGGTGAATGGGGAGGAAAGCAGTTGAAGAAATGCCAAGAGTTATCTAAGATGTGAGGTATAATCTTTAGAACATGTTCTCATGGACAAAAGAAATGAAATCATCTAAATACTAACATCCTCAACTAGTTTATTAGAGTCCATTTGAAAAAGCATGTGCCCAACAGAAATATGTGAGGTATAATCTTTAGAACATGTTCTCATGGACAAAAGAAATGAAATCATCTAAATACTAACATCCTCAACTAGTTTATTAGAGTCCATTTGAGAAATGCCCAACAGAAACGGATCATGCCAGAGTTCCTATCAACTGTGACTAATGGTACGTTGCCCAAGAAAATAATTCATTCTTTCATC